ACTGTTTGTTGTATCGTTCAAATTCTTCTGCCGGGAGACTGTTCCGGTTGTCAGCAAGCCAATCCGGATACTGTAATAAAAAAAAAGCAAGACTTGAATTTCACATTCCTTTTGTAGTGTGACAAATCTCAAAACTGAGAGGTTAGGTACAAATAAACTTCAACATATACTACATCTTTACAAAGCACATCATGTATGATAAAATACATAGGTATCCTATGTATATAACTATACTAGAATGAATTATCACAGGAGGTGAGTCTCCATTTCATTTCACTTTCCCTAACTATAGCAATATGAAAATATAAGACAAAGAAAGAAGATGTTGCTGCTTGATGATGATGAAAAATGAACATAATAATAAGGAAGAAAAATTGAAAAGGAGAAAGTAGATGAAAATGAGAGAGCTTCAGATATTCTTCCATGAAACAAAAATGTTAATCCCACAGATTGGTTCCATAATAATATGGACAAGCCCAGGCACCATCTTACCCAATAAATGATAAACGAGTATTTTTTTTGGCCTATCTTCTTCATTACTAACTACTTTCTTAAGGCAAAACATAGCTTCTTGAAGGGCAGATTTCTTGAAAATATGCTCATTTGTAAGGTATATAATATTCTTCAGCCTGTCCATGTGGGGTTCAAATTCTATATAATCTATCTTCACAACATCTGATTTAAGGAGAAGGTAAAAATAATCAGGATGATTAATAAAAACCGGGACATGACAAGGCGGGAAAAAACCCACAATGCACAACAAAAATATACTGGAATGTGAGAAAACATTTTCATCAATCTAATAGATTGTATCATTTTCCAAGGAATTCATAGTGGATTTTTTTTTCCTGCCAGCACTAATATAGCAACTTTTACAAACACCAATCACCACATACTTAAAAGGCAATTTAATAGAGCTCAATAAAATAATAACATAAGCATAGCAGATATCACTTCTGTTTTGCACTGAATATGAACCAAACTCCCTGCAAATGTTTGATATTAGTTACATATGATATCCCCCATTACACATTTCTGAGCGACAATTTTTCAGGCATATTACTATTATCTGCTTAAAGGAAGATATGAAGGCATTTGCATCCAAGGGAGCTCTCAGACCAATAGCCCTAAAAAGCATTTATCAATAAGAGAAGTTATTTCTACTGTTAGATATAAAGATTTAAATTAGAGGTGAAAGAGAAAAGCAAGAAAGAGAACATTTAAAAAAAACTTTCTGCACTTCCTTTATATATTGGATGCCTTTTCACACGCCGGGTAACATTAGAATATCTTTATACTATTAGCCAGAAGCATTTCACGTGGACTACTTTAACTGTTACTCCTAAATAGATGATTGATGATGATGATGATGATGACATTTCATATGGACTACTTTAAATATTACCCCTAAATAGATGATTGATGATGATGATGATGATGATGACACTTCATATGGACTACTTTAAATATTACCCCTAAATAGATGATTGATGATAATGATATTGATGATGATGATGGTCATGATGGTAATGGTGATGATGATGATTGTGATGATACCTTTACAGCAGACCTCCAACGACCAGAAAATAATATTAACAAAGACGAGGGCAGTGATGATGACAATAAAAAGAAAAAGAAGAAAAAAGAAAAAAGAAAAAAGAAAAAAAGAAAGAAAGAAAGAAAGAAAGAAAGAAAGAAAGAAAAGAAAAAAACAACAACTAAAAACCAACCTTATCTGTGATCTCCTTCATGGGCGGATAGAGCACCTCCTTCGACAGGATATTTTCCAGCATGACCTGCATCAAGGGGAAGAGTCCACCCATTCCTTCTCCTTCTCCTCCTCCTCCAAAACCTAGGTTCTCAAACATCTTGTTCAGATCGTCTGCAGTTGGAACACTCTGGGAGGATAAAGAGCAGACAGAAGATTTATCTACAGATAAAAATAAATCTGAATGTTATGACAGGTAAAAAAAACAATAAGTTATAAATTGTAGGTAATAAGCTTCATTAGAAAACTGTTGACTTGAACTTAGAACATGTGATACAGTTGCTAGCAAATATTCTTAGATATTTGTCCAGAAAGTAGAAATTATGAAACAAAATAAAACAACTTTTTAATTTGAACAACAAACATTATATCTTGTAACTCTAACACAAAAGTGGAACAAAAGAAAAAAGTCCCTTTTCTTGTCATAAATGAAGAATTACATTTATAAAAGAAAAACTTTTTTATGTAAGAAGATTAGTGAACAAGGTATTTCTCTAAAACTTCTCCATCTGTAATAATTCATTCTTTTCTCTCTCTCTCTCTCTCTCTCTCTCTCTCTCTCTCTCTCTCTCTCTCTCTCTCTCTCTCTCTCTCTCTCTCTCTCTCTCTCTCTCTCTCTCTCTCCAGTGACACACACGCATGCACATACGAAATGCACTCATCCACACACACACTTAAACACTCACTCCTACCTGAAGTTGCTCATTATTCTGAGACAACTGTTGCATGGTTTCAGCAAGGCACTGAGTGAAGTCCGCGTCAGACTGGGCCTCGGAAACAGTCTTGGTAGCAGCCTCTGCGAATTTGGCAAATTCCGCCGACATTGACGATAGATCGAGAGGCGGGGCTTCTCCGGGTGGTGGCTGTGGGGCAACTTCTTCCGGCTTCTTGTCCCCTGCACCTGATTATGAAGTTCAAGAGAGTCAAAAATCCACATAATTACCCAACTGGTAGAGAAAATTATTCATTATTTCATCACTCTTATTGGACAAGTGTCAAGACGTACACAAGGACCGAGTTTTGGTATGACAATGGGTGATGGGTTCACTCTTGGCTAGCAGACGGGCATCAAGGTGTATGTAACAGGATGGAAGATTCATCCCCTTTTTCTTTGTTATTAGCATGTTAATATTTTCATCTAGTGATGGTAGTAATGATTATCCGTATCACTCTCTCTGTCTCTCTCTGTCTCTGTCTCTCTCTCTCTCTCTCTCTCTCTCTCTCTCTCTCTCTCTCTCTCTCTCTCTCTCATTCCCTGTTTTATTTGAATTTGACACATAGATTAGACAAAAATACTTTTAGCCACTAAAATATTAAGTTTCTTTTATGCTCTTCACTTGTACTGCTCCTAGAGACCACTGCCACTAATTATAACTCTAATCATATGACTGGCTGAGAGCAGATGACACATAAATAATGTGATCTGATTATGTCTTCTTCTTCTTCTTCTTCTTCTTCTTCTTCTTCTTCTTCTTCTTCTTCTTCTTCTTCTTCTTCTTCTTCTTCTTCTTCTTCTTTTTTTTTTTAAGTTCTACCAAAGTCTGGGCGGAATATTGAAGTGCAATGCCACAATATTTCCACTAACGATCTATACATAAAAAAAAAAAGGGTTGATGAATAATCAATCTCAAATCACTTTCCAAAAAAAAAAAAAGAGGGGGAAGAAGATAGAAAAAAAAGAATAAATAGAGTAAATAGCAAGAAAAAATGAATAGAGGGAAGGCTAGTTCAAGAAAATGCTAATCTGATTTGAAATGCATGAATCGGTTTTAAAAAAGCAAATAGAGGGGAAGAAGAAAAAGAAAGAAGCAACAAAAAATACTAGGAGGAAGAAGAGAAGAAGAAGAGACACAAAACACATCAAGAAAATGAAAAAAAGAGAGAAAGAAAGACAGAAAGAGAGACAGAAAGAGTGAAAGAAAGGAAAGAAAAGAAAGAAAGAAAGAAGCAACGAGAAATACTAGGAGGAAGAAGAAAAGATGAAGAAAAAACACAATACACAAAAAGAAAATGAAAAAAGAAAATGAAAAAAGAAAGAAAGAAAGAAAGAAAAAAAAGAAAAGAAAAAGAAAGAAATAAAAGAAAGAAAGAAAAAAAAGAAAGAGAAAGAAAGAAAAGAAAAAGAAAAAAAGAAAGAAAAGAAACGAGGGAGAAAAAAAGAAAACATACCTTCCTGCTGTTCCATAAGCGTTCTCATCGTCTTCTCGAAATTAGCCGTTGCCTGCTGGATGAACTCCTCTGTCCATATGTTATTCTGCCCGCCTCCCTGTGACACGGCAGCACCGACACCCAGAGCTGCCATTGCTGAGGCCAAGTCGCCGCTGGGAGCTTCGGCGCTGGGCTTTGCAGGCGGAGGTTTGTTAAAGTCTTGGATGGCGTCTGTGGGTAAGATGTGACTGTCTAAATAGGTGTCTAATCAACTTTAATGCTTGCCTTTCTATTGGTGCAGGTGCTATTTAACCCAGCTGGGAATGACGTGTATGTACATGCTATGCCCACTGTGTGCTACTTGTTCGATTGTTTTTACACATAGATGGCTACACTTGCACCAAGCCATCAATGAGCCAGTTATGCAGTACCGCCTGTCTCTCCTGTTTACCCTTTTCTTTGATTTATGAAAATGTTTTACATTATCTTATTTTGTTGTTACTAATGTTTATAACATTATAGTAATTATAATATTCATAATAAAAATAACACCATTGATATTCATAGCACTAGTTAAAAAATAAATTTTCCCCGCTATTTCAAGAAAGGTGAAATCAGGTAAGGCTGAGCATTAGCAGAGCCATCTATGTGCAGAGACATTATAAAAAAATGTAAGAAATGAGCACAGCATTTTCCTCATTTTTTGTTCATTTTCCCCAGCGGCATTGGGTTAATACTAATAGCACTATTTCACTGCCTTTGCTTATCTCAATTTCGTCCAGGGATGGAAAAAGATGCCAAATAGTACCAAATTTACAAGTTCATAATTACTACATTCCATTCACACATAAAAAAGCGATTCTCCTTAGCAAAGGAAATGCCTTCTCCTCGGAAAAAAACCCACTACACACAAAGCATGTTTACTGTATTGTGGGTTTATCTTCCATTTGATCAACATAGTAGAATATTTTCACTCTTAATAACCCATTATCATAAAATATCTGATTCTTCCAAGCTAATGCATTAACTTTAGTGATAAGTAAATGGTACATCAATCAATAGAGAGATATAAATGATGCTAGTG